ATCCACACGAATGCCGTGCCTGAGGCCCCCGTGGCCCAACGTGGGCCGCCTCTCTACGCTTCTCTCTTCTGCTCCAACCTTTCTACCCTCTATCACTCAGCCAGACCATCTTTACCCACGAGTAAGAGATCTCCCTTGTCTTTCTCCCTTCTTTTTATCTTCTTCTTTTCTTGTTCCTTCTGCTCGCGTTCTTTTTTTCATTAACACCAACGGTGTCGCCCCGTATTCGATTATATTTTAGTCGTCGCATTTTTTCGCGTTGCTCGCTCTTCTCGTTACGTCACCGTTTCGATTCCGTCTCCGTTTCACGGATCGACGAATCAATGAACGCTGAGTGAGTAATCCCGATCGTATTCAAACTTTCGAGACTGGAACTGGAAATGCTCTTTCATCCCGTTGAAAGGGGGAAGGGGGTCTCTCGTGCATCGTTGCGCGGCTGATAAACGGATTAAGAACTTTGGATCTAATTGGCCCCCGGGCCGATCGTAAAGGAAACCCTCGCCCGGCCTTATTGCCAGCTACGAGATTAGGATTCGTTCGTATATACCCTTTGGAGCTTATCTCTCTTTTAACGTTGCTTTCCAACCTGTCGTGAAACCTGCCTCTATTTACTCGCGCGTACCCCTCGGGTTTCCAATCGTTTTACGGTCCTCTAATCGTCACTTCCGCATACTTGGCCGGCGTTCTCGGTCTCGACCATGGATCCTGTTATCGTTTTTCGTTATCGCCAACCATCGTTTCGCTTCCACCGGTATTTCTTTCTCCTTTTTTCTTCCCCTCCCCCCCTTTCTTTCTGCCTGACCCTCTCGTTCGCCCCCCCGACGAAAAGTATTCGGTCGATACGTCGAAGCAACTTGGAGAGAAATCCGCGGATAAGGCAAGAGGGATAGTTCTCAGGCAGGAGGTGGAAGGAAGAAACGAGAATGGTGGCGCGGTACCACGGTATAATAACAGAGCACCCCAGCCCCGACTAGCTGATGACTTCATTGAACTGGTCTCGCTTGGCCCCCGGGCCCAGGACCTCCCTGAAACTGCCTGAAATTATAACGCCGGTCCGCTTTTGATGCGCTCGAGACACGTTTCGAACATTTAGTGGATCTCGAGGCTGCTTCTCTCAGCAGAAGGACGCGATTCTAGTTCCGTTGTCGAGGCATATCTCCTTCTCTGTTATTCTCGCTACCCCACTCCGTTTCCCTGTTTCTTTTTTCCGCGAATACGTGCTTCCGTGTGCTGTCCATCGCCGGTCGCGACTCTTTCTCTACGCAATAAATCGAACAGCCGCTCGTCGAGAGATACGACGTACAACGCGTCCCTGATCGCAGTGAACACGAGCGTTTCATAAGGAACGAGTCGTTGTTAGACCGTGGCCTATAAACTCGCGACTTACAAGCACGATCGCTTCCCTCTTTCGTCGATGTCTCGTGTCGAACCGACGACCTTCGCGTGGGTTCTCCGCGCCGATTCCACGAACTACAATCGACCCTCTCGTGGCCTTTTCTCGATGCAACGCGTTCGTCCGCCTGTCCGTGCCCGTGTCCCGCATCGGGACAACGTATCGCCCGCGGTCGCGAGATACTTTCAATCCTAGAGTTAACATCGCTCGCCAACTCGCCGCGATTCCTCGTGTGAAAAACTCCGCTGCGTGGACAGACGGTCGTGATCGCGGTCAATCGCGTGCAATCCACTCGTCGTGGACGTTTGTTCGTTCGTTCGTTCGTTCGTCCGTTCGGGAAGAAGAGAAGAAGAGAGAAGTTCGAGAAGCAGAGAACTGACTATCCGCGATATGCGAGAAAAGAGAAACGAGCAGAGCAGAGGTAAACCGGGGAGACAAGTGGAGAACACGGTCGCGCGCGGGGTCAGTTGAATCGAGTCCCCTTCTTCGTCGTCGAATCCCCCGCCGTTCATCGATCGGAACGTCGATCGATTCCTCCATCGGCTCGAGAGAGATCTTATGGGAAATAGAAAGTGGTCACGCGGTGATTCGTGGTTTTGCCGCGTGCGTACGTTTAGCCTATGCGAGATTTACGAGCGGACTGCCTCGTAATTACCATTGTGAAAACTCGGGTGAACCAGGGTGGTTGGAGGTGGGCAAGGGGAAGAATCGTCGGGTGAGGTAGGAGAGGGAGAGGAAGACGAGGAGATCGAAGGGTGAGGAGGAGGAGAGAACGCGAAGGTATACGCTCGAAGAGAGGGACGATAAAAAGTGCGGGACTAGAGAGACGAAAGGAGAGAGAAAGAGAGGAAGAGAGAAACTACTCGAGTGTATCTCGAGGCCAGTTCTATACGTGGGTCTGAAAGTGCCGTGTAATTGCTACGGCGCGTTTGCTCGGGCATCTGTTTACCCACTTCGATCGCAAAACCGCGCCGAGGCTGTAAACGCCCATTCGAGATCGTTCGAGATCGGTTTCCATCTCCAGCAAACGGCGCGCTTATTACCTCTACCGAACTGGCTGCCGATCGATATCTATTTCGTATTAACAACACGCGACTCCGCGTCGTGCTCTTTCGAAATCGTTCGACACGGTGGCCTTCGGTAATTAGGAATGAAATTGCGCGAATCGAATAATTATTAGTTTCGATATCTCCTGCCTGGAAGCTGTACGCGTGCGTCTTTCGATAACACGAATTACGAGCGTCGCTGCCGTTTGTCACGTACCCTCACCGTAATTATCGTCTAATCGTTTGTTGACGGCGTGAATTCGTTCGCGTAAACCCGCTGAAATCGCTCGACTTTCCGTCACGTCCGCGCGTTTTCCTTCGACGCGAGACTTCCCTGATTTTTCGTTGATTCATCCGCGCACGAAATCCCGGCGCCGCGCCACGCCGATCGACCAATGCGAAATTCTTCGAGGATACGTCGGAACGTGGATGACAGAGAGAGGCGCAATAAATTGGCGAAACGTCAGGAGGCAGAAAAACAGCCGGATCCAGCTCGTCTCGGTGTTTCTTTGTCGTGGGACCGATGCCGTGTCATCGGTCCCAAACCGCGGCTTTCGGGGTCCACTACTCGGTCACGAGGTCCCGCTTCACCGTCTGCGACGCGGCCTTGCGAGGTCTGCGACAAAAACTGTTTTGCCAGTCCTTCTTCTCCCCTTCCACTTTCTTTTCTTCTTCTTCTTCTTCTTCTTCTTCTTCTTCTTCTTCTTCTTCTTCTTCTTCTTCTTCTTACACTTCGTTAGAATCGATTTCAAACTTGGCGATTTCTCGACTTCGTCTCACGACGGAATGTCTTCGCGACATTCTTTTTCTACTTGCTCGGTATTTTCGCGAGCGATCGCCACGATCGTACTCGAGGCTGAGGAAGAATGGAGACGCGCGAAGAGAGCGACGTACAGTTCTATCAAAGCGCGTTCGTCACGCGCTGGCGATCCTTTTTTTCTCTCGATTCGTTCTCGTCATAATAGAGGAATCTGTTCGTGGCTGCGCCACTACGATTCGTCTGAATCGGTTTCGAGCGGCACCGGTGGCCGCCACCGGCACGCTGCTGCCTGCCCCGTCGTGGTTCGAGCAGGTTCTCAGGAATTCACGACTCATGCGACGACCGGGTGTCCGAGTGAAACGTATAATGGCATTTAACGAAGAGGAATCGTGGTAGCGGGGGCAGTGAGCTTGCTCCAAATTGTTAGGTCAGGCTAATGTCGAAACGACGGGCCGAGGACGGGCCTGGTATTGTTCCGACACCCTCCTTCGTGCTGATGGCTCGTGGGAACACGCCTGTTTTTTTTTTTTCTCTTCCCCATTATCCTCCTCCGGAGGAGCACCCTCGCCCGATATTTTTCTTCTTTTTCGAAAATACTCATCTTTCTTTTCTGTTGGTTTCTTTTTTTCTTTCTCTCCAGCTCTTTTCGACTCAGCTCGAACGTTAGAGATCTTTGCGAGGTAAGATCGATCGTGATAAAGTCGATCATCGAATCGACGTCTTCCTGCGACGACACAGCCGCGCGAATTAACGTTTAAATCGCGGTCGCGAGCCAGAGAGGATGGAAAAAGGGGGCAAAAGAGGCGAAAAGAGTAAAGGACGAACGACGAGGAACGAAGACGAGAAGATTGGGCTAAGAGAAGCTCCACTCGTCTCTGAAAACTGGTCTGGCAGAGACGCGCGGTCTTAGGAGCAAAGAAGAGTCGGAGGAGCGGCATTCCCCGGTAATTAGTCTCACCCATAAATTACTAGCTATTTCGTGTCTGTGTTGGTCACAACTCGGTAATGTTCTCCCTTTCGTCCTCTCCCCCGGCCTCTTCATTTCTCTTTCTTCCTTTCATTTCTCTCGCCTATACTCCTCCCCCTTACTTTATTTTTTCTTTAAACCGACGTTCCCCGGTACCGCGTCGGTTCCCGAGAAATAAACGATCTGACTCGTTCGTGCCTGACACAAAAATTTCGACAATCAACGAGCGACTTTACGTTTGAAACAGCAGCGTGACACCGACGAAACGTTCACGGTCAAGTTGATGGTCAATCGTGGAAAGGATCTAGGTGCCAAGAGATCTGTGGTACTCGTAAACGGGCTCATCTTTGCCGTAGGTCTAACGCCTGATTCTGATCCGGGAGGATCTCTCGACCGGCCGAAGGGGGGCACAGGACCCCGCTGCTAAATGAGCTGTAATACGGACCCCCGCTGGCCCCCTAGCTTGCTCTTTCTCTCTTTCTCTCTTTTTCACTCCATCGCCAGTTCCTACCATCGCAGAATTCTCTTCTTCTTCTCCGACTCTATCGAGACGTTCGTTCTTTCACTTGTACCTTTCCGTCTGCCTGCCCCCTGCCCCCTGCCCCCTGCCCCCTCGTCCCTCAGTGCCGTTCAAAACTACTCGTTCCGCGCGAGTAGAATTCGGTGGTCGTGATACAGCAACGCCAGACGATTCATTTTACCGGCACACTTGCTCCGATGTTTTTGCTTTCTCCGCTCCTTTTATCTTGTCTTTCTGTCGCTGTGATCGTTCGTTTCTTTTCTTTTCTTTTCTTTTCTTTTCTTTTCTTTTCGTTGGCTGGTCATTGGACGTGTTTCGACGCGCTTCGACCCCGTTGAAAATCTGGGGATAACGAGCGTTTCGCAGTTTCGACAAACAGAGTCACGTATGCGTTTACGTCAGAGGGAACGGGCAGTACGAAACGGTTCTCGTCGCTTCCGCGAACTAACGGAGAACGGTCGTAGCATCGAGACCGATCGCTCGCGCATTTGCTCGGTCAACGAAGCAGTTGACCCGTCGCTAGAGATACACGAAGAGAACGAATCCATCAATTAGGTCAGCCGTTCTCCGTGCTCTCGCCGCCAGACGCGAATGGAGAAAGAGAAGGGAGCAAGGAGAGGAACGAAAGTACGGCTGGTATCTTGTCTCGGTGCCACGCGAGAGCGACACTTTCGGTTTCACCTGAATTTTTTGAAATTGAACGTTCTCTCGAACGCTACTTCAGAAAATGGAGCTAAGCTGGATGGTGTCAGAACTACGCATACGTGTTTCGTCTCTACACCGGATGATTACTTGATAGGTAACTCCTTGAAACATATTTTTATTACAATTCAAAAAAAAAAAAAAGAAAAGAAAAAGAAAAGAAAAAAGACAAAATGGAGAGAATTCGTTCGAAACGAAAAGAATACGTAGCAGATCAAATGCTGACAGTTTAAACCCCTTGTAATCCTGTAACGCGGAACAAGGGGGAAAATGGTAGTCACAGTCGGACTCTCGAGTGAAAGAAAAAGGTTCACGCGATGCTGAGAGTGAAAGAACAGGGCCAAGAGAGAGCAGATTGGTACCAAGCTGTTTAGAACGATCTCTCTTAATCGGATAGCCAAGTTTATCTCGAACTCCGAAAGAAAACGACCAAGATACCATTGTGATCGACGTTCGTCTTCGTGTAAGCCAGATATTCCATCCGGGTCTGCGTCTTTGTTGCGGGTCAGTTCGCGAAAGAAAATAATGGTCTTGAGAAGGATTTGCTCGATCGCGCGTGTCGGGCTGCTCGTTACTCGTGTCGGGGACGAGGACGAGCCTCGAGTCTTGAAATCTGGTCGATCGTATTTTCGCGGGAGCCGGAAATCAGAAACGGAATGGAAACGAGAGGGTCGAAAGGTAGCAGCGCGCGGTTGGGAGCTTGTGGTCCTCCCTCCGTGGGATCCCAAAGCCGGCAGGTTGCGAGGAGGCACAGAGGAGACGAGGTGGTTCGTAGGAGAGTTAAAAGAGGAAAAGAGGGGCTCGGTTGCGTCTCGTTGCCGCCGAGCGGCGCTCACCTGCCTAGTCCGCAACAGTCTCGTACGGTTCGCTCTGGCCAGGAGCTTCGTCTCCGATCACGGACCAGCGATTCTCCTCTCCTCTCCCCTACCATCGACCACTTTCCACCTCCGCACGATCGCGCTGCACCACGTGAGCTTTTCGATCTTCTTCCTACCCTCCGCTACATTTTTTCTCCGACTTTCTCGCTCCCTCGTTCATACCCCCCCCCCCATTCCTCCCCTTCTTTTCTAATCTTTTCATCTTATCTCGTCTTCGACACCGTCGCGCGTTTCCCGCACTGTCCGGAAAATTCAAGATTTGTCGGATCTCTACCAGAGGGATGTCCTCTCGACGGCGGATTCACAATTTCGGTCACGAAACCGTCGACACCGAGGATACCGCGGCGATGGTGACATCGACGTTGGTGGTGTAGTGAAGGTGGTAACGGTGGTGTGTCGGAGGCCGACAAGCCGAAAGAGGAAACGAGGCGGCGGCGGAGGAGGAGGAGGAGGAAGAAAAGAAGCTAAACTAAAAGAGGAAGAGGAGAAGGAAGAAGAAGAAGAAGAGGAGAAAGAAGCAGATGAAGGTGAATGGTGGGGCTGTCTTCTCTACTCCTTGGTACATTTCTGGTGGGGGTAAGGCAACACTCAAAGTTCGTGGTGACGTAGTTGTGGCAGGAACGCGACGCGTTTTTGTCCCCGCCGGAAGGAAATAACAGCTTCCTAGATTCTTAGATCGTCTCTCGTCGTTGGTGTTTGCGTCGAGTCGAGCATCGCGTGTAAAAGGGAGCGCGAGAACCGGGGGGGAAAGGACCGAGAAAAGATAGGCGAAGAGACGGAGATCAAGAGAGGTGGGATCAAGAGAGAGGAGGTGAATGAAAGAAGAGCAAGAAGCGAAGTAACGGAAAAGGGTGGGGAGGGGTATCTAGTTCAGCAGACCGGAAGCGGAGGGTTTCTCTGTCTTCCGGGAATTTGTCAGCCGTGACAAGGACCATTTGCGATTCCAAAAGATTACGCGTTGGCCGAGTCAAAGCAAACGAGAAAATTTGCTTGTTTTTTCACGGGTTGCAGCAGTGGCCTCCGGAAGGAGAGATCATGAGGATTTCGCGTGGTCAATATTTGTATCCATTCGCGTGTTTCAAAGAGGCTCTTTCGCTTTGATCGTTGAACTTTCGAAGCTGGAGAAGAAGGAAGCGGAGGAACGGCCGAAGGAGGAAGAGGAAGAAGAGGGCTGCAACGACGCCGAGGAAGAAGACGAAGAAGAAGTACAAGAAGAAGAAGAAGAAGAAGAAGAAGAAGAAGAAGAAGAAGAAGAAGAAGAAGAAGAAGAAGAAAACGATCGTGCGTCCGGTGAAGTGTCGGCAGAAGCGAAGACCAGATACGAGAAAGTAGTCGAGAGTGGACGGCCGAGGAGATCGGGTGCTCGATAAAGAATTTCACCTTCGAGATCGAGAAAAAGGATCCTCGAGTACCTTTCAAGAGGTGGGCACGTGTGATCCGAGACGCGTTACCGGGCTACCACCCGACACGTCACGCGCAAAAGTCGTCCAATTTTTACGCCGGTTTCGTAGGTCAGGAATCTGGTGGCGCTACGCTGCGCAAGAGACACGATCGGCATCGATTTTCGTTCTTCTTCGTCCCTTCGAGTCGAGAACCCGGTCTCGAGATCCCGGTCGTTTCCGTCGTGTCCAGCTGAACCACAGGAGGCAGACAAGGGAAAAAACAATCGGCACTTGTCGAAGCTGCACGCCGAGGGGCGGAGGGGATGGAGATGCGCCTCGTTCTCGTGGCGATCTGCCTCCTTCTCGTTACCCCCATCGCCGGCTCGTTCTGGTACGTAGTACTCGTTTCTTCACTTCGTTTTCATTCTCTTTTTGTCTAACGAATATTACGAAAAGAAATTATCATTCGGGAATCGTGACATTTTTCGCCTTGGAGTGGATCCTTGCTCGCGCGTCTCGAACATGTTACGTTCTCCTTGCAACAGGAATGAGATATATGTTTATGATCGTCCGTAATCAAAATCATGACACTTTTATATCGGTAATTCTGTGAAAAATAATTGCTCCTCAAGAGCGATTAACGTCAGTACTTTCCAAACGTGACGAACTAACGAGTGCTCCAGTTCCGAAGTACGTCATCTGGGTTATCAATTACGCGGCACGTTACGCGCACGCGGAATGATTAATGACGCCATAAATCCACCTTTGGAAGTTACTTGCGCTCCGGTAAGTAAGACTTGTCCTGAGATTTACGGTTTCATTTCGATTCGCTTAAATTGCTCGTTACCGTTACCGGAAAATCTCGGCCTCTCCTCGAGGCTCGATCCGCCGATTGACAGTCGTCGAGCGGAGGTTTGTCCGTTTTGTACGCTCGAAATCTCGTTGTCTTGCGATACGTAAATTAAACCGAGTTCGGTAGAGATCAGCCCGAAATGTCGCGGATTCGTAACTGGCGTGCGAGTGACACGCTCTTCGTAACTGCGTTACGTGTAACGCTCGGCTAGGTATCGCGAGAACGACAGTAAATTATTCGGTAGCTCGAGTGCACCGTGTGTGTACTTGGGTTTATTATGTAAATGTTTGTACGACGATAGTCGGTTATCGCTGCTTCGTCGTTCAAGGTAGCAGCATCCAGAAACAAATCGCGTTGCAAACGCGTTTAAACGGTCCCTCGGTGCTTCGCCTAATTCGCCTAGTTTTTCACGAGGAATACACGAATTTGACCTCCAACGGAGTTCGCGATTCTCCGATTCGACTCGCGATACGATCTTTTCACTGTCGATTCCGACTTTCTCGAGTTTTTTCCATCCACCACGCGGATCGAAAATTCGACGAGTGGCTCTCGCGGACGAGATTAGGCTATGTACGCGTTGAAATTCGAAGGTGTAGTTTCCCGTGAAGGTGACGAGAAGCGATGGTCTCTCTCTCCTAGGGTCGAGCAAATATTTGTCAACGATTTAAAAGGGGATTTCTGCGCGCAGTCGACACTGTACCGTCGCACCTTGCTCTCATACCTGTGCACGACGTCCACACGACGGGGACGTGTTTGATAAATACATTAGAAGGTTCGTGGTTTGTTTCGACGACAGGTATTTAACAGATATTTAAGTAGGTTCGAGGAATGTTCTCCGCGGAGTCGACTCGGCTTCCAACGTCAAAGTTTTTATTTTCTTTCGCGACGGTCGCGTTCTTGTCGATCGTCGGCATTTCTCGCGTTGCACGAAGAGTCTCTCATCGGGGAAGTTGGCCGATCAACGCGTCTCGTCCGCTCGTTTCAGCGAGAATCGGGGGCCGATTACACTCGATCGGGAACCGGATTCTCGTTCCCGATCGAGATTCCCCGATTTCGTCGCGAAGGATACTATCCACGGTTCGTTCCCCTGGTTTTCGGTCAGTCTCTCTCTCTCTCTCTCTCTCTCTCTCTCTCTCTCTCTTTGCTTCTCTCGTTGCGTTTCACGGTGGCGTGGAGAGCACGGTTGGCAGCGTCCAACTTTTGCGGTGGACAAAGACGGCCGAATAGAAGAGTAAAGAGGTAAAGAAACGAGCGAGGATGGACAATGGTCTCGCTCGAAGCGTCACCCGTAAATCTCGTTGAGCGCGTATAATTTGTAAGTCGGCAGCAGCCCCGTTTCGCCTGTTCCCTCGCCTCCTCCGGCCGCGCGATCCCTCTTCGTCTCCTGCAACCCAGGCCGCGCGAGCCGTCTCTCGAAAGCAGCAGAAAAATCGGGAGCAGCCCACAGAGAGAAGAAAGACCGCGATCCACGCCGTGGATTCAGACGCATTCTTTGCCAGAGAACTCCGTTTTCGTGTTCCGTTCCCGTTCTTGCACTTGTGCTTTCGAAACGATACGTACGCGGGCGATCGGTACGCGGTTCGCTTGTTAATTTTCTAGATCGTCGCGCGACGACCTAGTCCAAGCGGAACAACGGCGATGCGTGTGTTACCGATTATTTCTCTCTGGAACCTGTCACTCTCTTTTTCTCTCTCTATGATCCTTAACTTTGTTTCATTTTGTGCTGTGCGGACGGACGAGCGCAGGCGGCGGAGGATCGTGTCAGAAGATCGGCGATCGATCGGCTGGTATCGTAACGAGCGGTTGCCGATAATACGATAGCGTTCGGTCGGGTCGCAAAGTTGGCCAATGAGCCGCGGTGGGCAGTCCGCAGCTACCTTCTCGCTGGTTGGACAACCCGATACTCCCACCCGATGCACTCTGTCTTACCTGGCCTCTCTCTCTCTGTCTTTCTTTCCCGCGCCGGTATAATCATAATCATAAGAGCACGCGGACCGTGCGCGACGCGAGGTCAACCCGTTCCGCTTTTATCGGTCCATGGCCGAGTCGATTCGCCCGAACCATTTGATTCCAACATCTGTCCGCCTGCTCGATCTCTTGCACAAGCACCGGCAACCTGCCGAATCTACGCGGGATATATTGATCGATCATCCTCCTTCGCCTCCTTCCCGGGTTCCTTCCACCCGCTGCGCGCTGCAACTGCAACTGCAACTTGCACGCACGCCTGTGTCGTAAACCGCGGCTCCCAGTGGATGTTTGCTCCCGATATTTCGGCCGTATTTCGGTCAGCCTCCGCTCGTAATGCTTATTTTCGTCGCGGACGCTCCTCCGTGTTTCGCCGGAGGATTAGTAGATATATCCTCTTGCGGCTCGGTTTGTCTATTTGCGGCCGTAAAAGCTCGACCTTTTCGTTCGAGGTGGCGGCGGAGGAGGCGGAGGTGGGATGCGCGTGGTGCCAACGTAAACACGGAAAATTCGTGCCCCTTCCGCGAAACGTGGCATCCTGCGCTCCGTTTCCGTTTACAGTCAGACGCTTACGGTATCCCTGATATATCCCTGTCGCGAAAGCCGCGAAACACCGGCGGCGTGTGTAAGAACCGAGAAAGAGGCGCCCGAGGACGTAACGTTTTGTCTCTTGTCCAGGGTCAGTTTCGATTCACGGTACGTCGGCGAAGCGATAAATTTAGTCCTCAACTTCCTCGAGCGCGACATCTCGATCCACCGAGACTCGCGGAGGACAGAAATAATTTTCGTCCGGCCCTCTGATTTATCGTCTAACGTACAACACTGCCGAGATACTGCGGTGGACCGCGAAACATTCGCGCGCAAAACAAACTCCACGCTGGGTTCGTCTGGTCTGTTTGCCAGGCTCGTTCGACTATTAATTCTAGTCTCTCTTCCTCCTCCGTATAAATAACGAACAAATCTCGCGTCTCGTTCGATCTCGTTGGAACGTTCAACAGTTGGGGAAAAACGTTCAGCTCGTGGTTGCAATTGTCGCGCTTTCCGATAGTAGTTGGACAACTTCGCGTAAACGAGCGTTAACGACAATTACGCGCCAGTCCATCGCCTCCGCGATTAATTACACGTACGTGTCACAATCGCGCCAACCGTGTCCTCCCCTTTTTCCTTCTCCTCGTTCGAAGACGGAGAATCGTCGTCTCTTCGAATTGTCGGAGATTTATTCGACCACCAGGCGAAACGCAAGGCGTTTCATTTAACTTGGTTAATGGCGAACGCGCGTTCAGACGACGTAACGAGCGATTAGTTTAAAGCGCTGCCTCCACCGGACGGTACTTAACGTACATACGTCGGGGACGATAAAAGTTAGGGGGGGGGGGGGACAGGCCGGCCGAGGTAGTTAACGTGGTTGAAACGCGTGTCCCGTACAAGCAAAAGCAGCGGATCGATTTTCGTGGAATGTTTGGACGGGGGCGTAGCCGCGTTTCCCGACGATAGACGTTCCTCTCCGGCGGAAGAATTTTGAAATTGTTTCGACGGCGTGCGCACGACGTAGCCGTACTATGCACGGAATTTTAAGACCCCCGCGTTTATCCGAGCCTACTCTAATTTTATTAGCCCCCTGCCGATTCGATCGGGTTTCATTAAGCCGCGTGCCTCGAATAATTTGTTAAGCGCGTGCACGCTTTAGCCCGGAGTCGAGCGATCGTACGAGATCGTACGCGGAAACGGAAGGCGTTGCGATCACGCGGGGATTTTCTTTCTCCTCTCTTTGGGACCGATCGAGTGGCTCGGCAGTCGCGCCACGAATTCCGCCGGGCGTTCTTGGGAAACGACGTCTTGCTCTAAACGCAGCCTAGACTCGGTCGCGCGCTAACCCCTGCCACCAATTTGTTCGAGCATTCCTCGGGTCAGTTCAGAACCGGCCTGCCTTTTCTACGTACGCCAAGGATTTACTTGGTTTCCCTCCGGATTTCCAACTTTTCTTCCGCGTTCTTTCTTCTATTCTTAGCGTTGGCTTATCTGTATCCGCGCGATACACGCGCTTTGCAGTTGGTATCGACTTTGAAATCGAAACGAGCAACGAGACCGTACGCGTTTCGATCCACTTGGGCGGATGGAACGATCATGGTACCGCGGTGGTCTCTTTGCTCGGCCTCTCGTTCTTCACGTATTCCATGGTTGCGCCGCGTTGTGTCCCGTGTCTCTGCCGCGTCGCCGAGCAATAAAACGATGATTTAGATTAAGTGCCCGTATTTAGTCGACACAAGCCCAAGTCTGTCGTGACTTTCCACTTCCATTTTGCCGTGCTTTTTCTTCCTCGTGTTTCCCCCTTTCGTACATTCTGTTGCTCGTTGCTGTCTCGTCGCATCCCTGGACAGACAGATTCCTCCGGTGGTCGCGCGATAGGAAACCCAAACGAATGGAAAGGAAGGAGCAATGGATCTCGCGCTGCTCGATCAGATTACCCTACTCTCGATGTCCTTGGAGGCGAGGTTCCCAACTTCCGTCGTGTTTTCTTCCTATCCTCGAGGGTCTCGTTCGAAACGGTGAGAGATATTCGAAGAATTCGCCGGTGGACCCAGCGACCGTTCTTCTTCTGCTGGTTCTCCTCCTCCTCCTCCTCCTCCTGCGTCGTACCGTTCCTTCTTCTTCTTCTTCTTCTTCTTCTTCTTCTTCTTCTTCTTCTTCTTCTTCTTCTCGAACTGCTTTCGGCAGCCGAGGAACGGATCCGTTCTCTTTTTCTGGTACTCTCTCTATCGAGAGTGGTTCTCTCCCTTTTCGACTCTCTCTCATTCTCTCTCTCTCTCTCTCTCTATTTGACCGCATACAAACACCGACGAGTGGAGACTGAGGCCAGAGCAACGTTGCTCTCTCGTCACTGTCTATCCGAGCAGACAGCGTGGAGCTGCCTGCGAGCAAAGTGAGTGCGTCTAATGAGGCAATAAATAAGTCGACCGCCCTAACCGGCCTCTCCACGCTTTTCGTTCGCAACGACGTGTCCATCCTCCGGTTCTTTTCTTGCCTCCGCGTACATGAGGACAACCCCTTCTCCCGGTCTAGCCCGGATCTCCAACCCTTTCCACCTTGAGTCTTCTTCTGCTAGCGACAGACTCTTCCATATCTTCTCTCGACTTTCTCTCTCTCTTTCTCTCTCTCTTTCTCTCTCTCTCTCTTTCTCTGTGTATTTCTTTCTTTTCATCGCGTCGCATCGCCTCGAATATCGTGCTCATCCACCGCCAAAGAGCGATCGGTGTCGCGGGAACAAGTTACGCGGAAGTACCGGTCGCTCGGTTCTTGACCACGCCAATTCCTCCAAACTGACCAAAGTACACCCGATATTAATAGCCCGGCACCTCGAAGCCGACCGATATCCGCTCGTCAAACGACGGCGATGCGTTTCCATTAATAACGTCGTAACGTTATTCGCGCAACGGGGAGGAGATGTATCGACAGACCACGATCTTCACGTTTATTTGACTTGCGGAGGTTAGCTACGCAGTCGTTAACGAACCAGCGCAAATACTCTTTGGCCGCGATCCTTTGAACTGTAAATGTCAGGACAGTGTCACGCAGCGGGGTCTCTCTCTCTCTCTCTCTCTCTCTCTCTCTCTTTCTCCTCTCTTCTCCACCTGGTCGCGACATCTCGCCGACAGCGAAGGAAAATTCTCAAACGAACACACCGATGTTTTTCCACCGCGGCGAAACGTCGGTGAAATTACAACACACGCGCGTCGAGCATCGGCGTGCAACGCTTCGCGCTTCGTTCCTCTCGAACGAAGGAACACTCGAGCCGGGGCGTTATTGGTTATTTTTAGCGACACGCGTAAGAGTTGGTTCCTCGTTTGTCAGCGCGACGATAAGACGTCGTTTGACGGACGCGCGTCATCGAGAAATCGTGTCGCAACGTTTCGCCTCTTCTCGGAATGTCAGTCGTTTGTAGTCCGTGTCGGCCGTCTATTACACGACGCGCGACGCTACGAACGAATCGCGCGAGCCTTTGTCGCATTCCCCGCGAGCATTCGCGATTGTCGGCAGATTCCGGGAAATCGCGAGTCGAGCCGCGATTCCTCTTGATAAGGGCGCGACGTGGATTTATTTCGAAATGAGCGAGATTCGCGAAACGTTCCATGGAAGATCGCGCCAACGCGCTCGGGGGAGAAGTTGGAACGAACCGCGGTCCGTTATGGGGTTATCGAGGACGAACATCGAGCAAGAATATCGAGCAGGCGAATGAAGTTCTTGCGCGTTGTACCCTGGCAGCGGGTCCGATCGTCCCGCGAGACGTAACATGAGCCATATTTTGCTCGCGAACGAGAGCAACGTTTAGCTTTTTTTTTTCTCCTCGGGGAAGGCGGATCGCGGGTCGCGACTGAGTCTCTTTTTTTCTTTTCCTTTTTCCTCTCTCTCTCTCTCTATCTCTTTCTCTCTCTCTTTCTCTCCGTCTCCGATCCCTCCTCTCGTGAACGCGTTTCGACCGTCTCCGGTTCGCGAGTTTCTCGAGAATTCTTGTCCGCGCATCGAACGTTCTTGTCCCCGCTGGTTACAGCCTCGTCGTCCGCGAAGCTGGAATCCTCGCCCAAATGACGATGTCACCGGTGCACGACTGTCCGCCTGTATTACCTACGTAGCTCGTGGTTCTTTTTTACTCGTGGTTCGTGCGGAACGAAAAGCAGAAGCATCGCTGGCCGCGCCGGCGACGTACACGGGCGCGAGCAACCGTCCTTAACGGAATTATTGCCATTAAGGTCGTTGCATTCCCGAGAGGCCGTCGTGTACGCGCCCCGGCATCCTACCGACGCAGAACTAATGATCTTAATTAACGTTTCGTAACGAAGGTCGCTCGGACTGTGTCCTCCCCGTTGCCTGCTGCTCCCCTCCCGTCTCTCCACACACTCTCTCGCGTCCGTTTCCCTTCGTTTCTCGTTCTTTTCTTCCCAGTTTCTCCTCCCCTTCTCCGCTCTTCTTTCCTCAATTTTTTTATACCCAGCTCCGTGGTCTCGTCGTCTCTCCGTGCTTGCTCCTCTTCTTTCTGGTCCCGAAGGAGAGGACTCGCGGTTCCCACTGTGCGTAGGATAACTCTTCCTCGCGATACTCCTCCGTCCGCTTTTCTTTTTGCCTCCGCGTTCGCGTTCGTCCTCTCCGTTTCTGGATTGTTCTTCGCTCGCGGTCCCCGTAGACCGCGCTCTGTCGATCTGCTAGCTCGCCACGACGAGCACACAATGGACGGATCGGAGATTTAATTATCGTGATGGCTACGGCTACGTTTTATTTTCCTCCCCTCGTGTACGTACTTTGGTACGACGCGCGAAAAAAATGGACGCGTCGGTCTGCTCTCGCTCGACTGATCGATGTTTCGCTTGTTCGCAGGACCGTTGGAAATCAGGTGGTGATGGACCCGATGCTCATCTGCAAGAAGACTAGAAGACTGAAGGGCAAGATGGCGGACATCTGTCGGAAGGAACCCTCGTTGCTGAAGGAGATCGCGAAGGGCGTCCAAGTCGGAACCAAAGAGTGTCAGTACCAGTTTCGTAATCGCAGATGGAACTGCACCACCATGAGAAGATCGCTGCGAAAAATTTTGCTACGTGGTAAGTCGATCGATATATTTTTCTCTCTGCGCGAGATCGAAGTCGAAGAGGGACGATACACGCGCACGGAGGCAGATTACACGCTCCCTTTCAGACCTGCGTTCCCCCATTCGTCACGATTAAACGCCGATGACTAAACAACGTCCTTCCACCTTCGACTCGAGACGAACGCTGTCGATGCTCTCGAACACGCGCCATTACTTTCGAATTAACCTCGATGAGGCCATCGCGAAGCGAGGGAAAGCCGCCCGAACGAGCGGTTTTTGTCGACCCGATTGCGCGATAGTCGATTCCATTAATCACGGAAATTATTCACGCGCGACTCGGAATTGTCACGGTGAACGTTCGTGCTTCTTCTCTCGAAATCCGTGACCACTCGAGGTGGTTCGTTCGTTCCTCGACTTGATGCTCATTTCTTGGAGTAAGAATTTTCTTGCTCGCCTCGTGAAACTTGGCCTCGCGTTATCGCGAAGATGCGCGATCGATGAGGAAAGGGGTATGTTATTCTTATTAAATAATTAGGCAAAGGAGTAATCAACAATATCTAATATATTTGCAAAAGCACGTCTTGTTACATCTGTGTTCTCTTCACTTCTAACTTATGCGACTATATTGAACCGTTGGCTCCTTAAAGGGAACATTCTACAAAAATAAAACAGTGAAAGTAATAAAAGTAAAAAATAATAAAAGTTCGCTCAGCTATTGTTTTCTATCATATCGATACAGTTTTACAGTTACTATCTATTCTAACAGAGTATATATTCTGGTCGGGATTGCGTTGCCGGATTCCGAGGCATTTCGGTAACCGACGAGAGATACGGCGTGCGAAATTAAACGTGGATGGGGGCAGGCAGCCCCGGCTCGAGCCTGGCATCGTCTGTCCGAAGAAAAATTCTCACGCGATTGAGTTGGCGTGCGCATTCGAGACGAGACGAGAGGCGAGCGAACCTGTCCGCGTGGCTCGTTTAGTTACCCGTCCGATGTATTAATTCCGGGTGATCGAGCACGACAACTAAATCGAAGACAGCCGATGTCCAATAGGCCGAAACTGCTCTCTAGGCCGCGCTATCAGATCGGTACCTTTTGGTAGCCTGACAGATTGACGCTGTTCGTCGGATATTAGTGGCAATATGTTCCCTTAATTGAAGGCTTCATTGCCAGCCATTCGAGACCGCGGTCTTCGACGATCATTCCAGATCCTCTTCCAGTATCTTTCTCTCTCTTTCTTCCCTCCCGTCCTCGTCCCTCCCTCTTCCCTCCCTCCGATCCGAGAGATTACACGATCGATCGTATCGATCGTGATTCGTAGCTGACTGAATGCGATTCGTCGGTGGGTACGAGCGGTACGAAATATCGGACACGTGGATTCCAGAGCGGACGATCGATGATCGAATTATATCCGACACTGTCGGCGATGCCTGAGACAATCAGGGGGGAGACGCTCGCCCTCCTCCCCTCCCTCCCTCCCTCCCTCCCTCCCGAGATTCCCGAGATACGACGGATATATACCGTTTTATACTCGACTCGCTTGGCGCTCGGCCGGTCCGACGCGAAACCCACCGGACAACAGGTTAATTAACTCTCCACCAGCGATATTTGCTGCGCGCGATGTTCTTGCCACGAGATGGAATTCGCTAAATCGAGTTTCGATACCGCACACGGAGTCCACGTTAATATCTGGAGGGAACTGCCGCGTGGTCGACGACGACGATAGCGGAGGGAACCAGCGAGAATCCACCAGAAAGGCATCTAATTTGCGTTTCAGCTGGGCAGGCTTACGAGCTTGCCTCACTCCGTAAGAAAAAAGAAAAAAAAGAAAAAAAAAAACGACGTAAAAAAGACAAAATACGCGTCGTAAATACGACAAAGTCCGATCGCATTATGCCTCGTCCACGAATCGTAAACCCGCAACGGCCGAATGAACAATTAACGAGGCTTTCGCCGCGGGTCTTTGACTCCTTTACTTGCGAAATTCGCGATCGTTCGATCGTTGCAGTTGACCAGTGGCCGGATCACCGGTTTACGGGACACGTGTTTACGAGCGTGTAGTGAACCACCGGGGTTTTCCATGGAGTTGGCAGCCAACGAAAATGAAAGGTCGGGCGAGGGAAGGTCTGGGGAACGGCAGGTACATAAACCCTGGCTGCCGGGTGCGTCATTGAACGGTGCGGATCGATGACAGGAGCGGCGATGTGTTAACTGCTCGTTTCGGGTGACAATCCTCGACGATCGTCATTTATCTGCGACCCCGGGCGAGGACAGCTCGCCCTGGGAAGTCTACCACGGAAGAAATATACGACTTTTTGGCCCACCCTCGACGCGTCGTGCGCGCGCTTCTGTCACGACGACAATGTGCTTTTTGCACTCGGGGGGGCGGTGGGGTGGTGAAAAGATGCACCCGTGTTCCTCTTTGTACGAATCTGCATTGATATTGTTATTACACGTTCTGTGTTTTCTTCGAAAATATCTTCAATTTGTTAGAAGTATAGCCGCATCTCTGCTCTGAAAGATCCACTGATATTTGGCAAACCATATTCGTTCTTTTCTTATTTGTACCGATGAGTATGCGTGTGAGGCCATCGCGTAACCATTCAGTTGATCGCCACTCATTCAGTCCATGTTAGAGCGTTGTAAAATAAACACGTACCTAAACTATTTGTGAATAATATATATACACTAAATGTTTAATACTATATATAAATAGATTAAAAGGATTTATTTAATACTCTGCAACCAACATTATTAAACAGGATCAAAAGTCGAGAAGATCGCTGATAGTCTTTGACCTTTTTTCCACGCAATTGCGAAAAATGTGTGTACGTATATCCGGAGGGGGGAAAGGAAAAGCGATCGTGATGGGAGGTCGACTTGTAATTAGTTGAACTGGGTGTCGATGCCGGAGAAAGAAAGAAAAAGAATGAGAGAGAGAGAGAGAGAGAGAGAGAGAGCAATTCGTGGGAGCAGTATCATCGAACGGTCGGTTTATCCGTGGATTCTGGACGAGGAGAGAGAGAAAGAGAGAGAAGGACATCGAAGCGAGGGAAAATTCCTAACGGGCAAACACGCATAGGGAAAAAGCGGAGGACGAAGGCACGCTACCGGCGGCGCCTATCTTAATTCCCGATTGACGTTTATTTATCTGGCGACGTTTAATTTTTATGGGCGCGATCTGGCCGATAGGTTCAGCCGTCGCAGGTAGCTCCCGCTGTGTGGTCCGAGCGGAGAAGAGATCCGGAGGATTGGACTGGTAGAACATTCGTGGACGAGCAGCACCTCTTAATTGAGGGGTGCCGCGTGTCGCGATAAGAGGAACACGGGCGTCAAAAACCCGTGGAAAGAGCTACCAAGGGGAAAGGAAAGAGGAGGAAGGAATTTATTGTGTTGCCACGGCCGCGTCCGCGCGTCGGTATACGAAGGCAGGGATTCACCTTGTGGACTACGATCGCTGGATCCTCGTCTCGATACCGTGTGCCCCTGTCTCGACCAAATTAAGAGAGTGGTTTTCTTCGTTCACCGGGATTCCGTCGAGTATTACCCGGCAACGGTGGAAACGGCCTCTCTCTAAAAGCGGCCTCCTCGAAGCAACAAATTGCTCTTTCTTCTCGAACGATCGGAGAAGGCGGAGCCCCCCGGTGCACGGACGATTTTATTCGATCGTTCGAGATTTAAAAAGCCCGTTGGAAACGGATGAACGCACCGTACTCTACCCTCGTCCGATTCGTGGAATTTTCCCGCGCGCGCCGATGGATGGAAATTCGGATAATGTTCGACTGTTGGGAAATTGCGACGGAGGATCGGCCATCTGGAGGATCAGTTTTCACCGGGCGCATTGCACGCCTCGATATACATACGCACGTACACGAAGACCGGAGATCGTATATTCCATTACCTCGGGCATTCTTTTCGTAGATCGTTTCTCGGCTCTAACGAAGATGCTCACCTTGGCGCGTTAATAAACTCGAGCCACGAGTCGCCCGATTATTCCATCCTCCGTTCGATCCTCCTCCTTGTCCTCGCAACGGTAATTATCGCGTTCTATTTTGGTTTGGCAAGAATACGGAGATTTCTGGTCGACGAGCGAACGATTACGCGGGCAACCTGTTTGCAGATCGAACATACCATTCGATCGACGTACCTCGAGCTTTTCTCTCCTTTTTTAACCCAACTGTCCGTTAACCAAAACGATCTTCAGGCGTGCCTTACAGAACGCGTCGAATCGCCTGGCGAGTAACACGGAGAGAGAGCTGCTAGGCCGTTCTAGCTGCTTTCTCTGGAAAAAAAGAGCGAGTGTTTGCGACAGAGCGACGAGACGAAACGAGACGGAACGGAACGGAACGGAACGGAACGGAACGGAACGGAAAGGGACGATAATGAGCGAGCTAAAAGCGATTTAGCGCCACGGCGCTAAGTGTTTTGTCGCCTTGCGAACTCGGTGCTAACTAATGCGGTTCGCAGAGGACGCAGACCGCGTCCCTCCTCTCTCGCCTCTTACCTTTACCGATTCGGACACTCGTAAGGTTTGCCAGCGCGTTTCGCTACGCGTACTCTTTCGAGCCACTGCCACACACGTCGACGCTGGTCCCTCGTTTATTAACATTAGCTTTTCCCGATCCCTTCGGGACGGGCTCCGTCCATTTAGAAACTTTCGCACGAACGTTTCGAGAAATTTTTCGAAGACGATTTTTATCCGTCGTGTCCCTTGTGTGTGTGTGTGTGTGGGTGGGCAAAGCGTTGCAAAGGCAAAGTCGAAAATTCAGTCGTCGTCGTTCCGCGCTGTTTGGCGAATCGTAATTGACACGCGGTGGAGTGAAACGGGTGGTCCGAAGCGGAGACCATTTTTTACGCGTTATTCATGGTCTTCGAACGGTGAGATGATGTGGCGGCGCAGCGAGCACCCTCGCCGCAGGAAACGACAATGCACGAGCCATGAGCACCGATTATCGAGGAAGCGTATCTTCCAGATGAAAAGGGAAAACCCGATTTTTCTCGCTTCTAGTGCG